GGCGGGTCCGGGCTGGGGATTCGAACCCGCCACCTTAGGTGTACGTGGCTGGCGCCTTAGCCGGTTGAGCTATAGGCGCCGAGCCCATTTCTATATTTCTATATATGACACTTACCTTCTTTCTTCTTATCCTAACCCTTCCATTGTTTTCATTTTGGTTCACAGGTAAAATAATTTCATAAACCAGTTCTTTTGTGTGGCTTCTCCAGTTATCTCCTCATTCACTCAAGTTCATCCCCTGAGAGTTTTCTCAAGATGGTATCATAGGAACCATAGTACCTTAGTTCCTGAATATGCACACTGATTGTCTGCAGCCTTTGTGCTTGGAAGTCAACTTGGCTGAATATAAGATCCTAGGGTCTCCTAGGATCTCCTTTCCTTGATGGCCTTACATATGGTGCTTTACTGTCTTCAGCTATTGAATGTTATTTTGGAAAAATCGAAGCCACTTTGATTTATTTTCTGTCTTAAATGACTTAACATTGTCTTTTTCATTCCAGGGTATGGGAAGGAGGTATGACTACCCAAAGAATTCTTTATCTCTAAAGTACAATAACTATACTAGAATATGTTTCAGGGTTGACCAATCTGGATCACCTTTTCTTGACACACTGTGAACCTTTTCAATATGTATATTGGAGGATTATTTCATTTCAGTAGTTTTATTAAGCTATTATATGTTTTTCTCACTGTTTTAGCTGTCTGCCTCGGACTCCAATTATGCAAATGTTGGGTCTCTTTTCCCTGACTTCTATATTTGTCATTTTCTTTTTATTCCTTTATAGCTTTCCCTTTATTTACATCTCATTTTGCTTGCTTTTATAATTTCTGTCCTCTGTGCCCCTGACTCTGTTCCTCACATGTCCATTCCACCTGGTGGTCCTTCCAATTTCATGTTTTCTTCTCTCCTTTTTGCATCCTGCCAGCTCAAAGTTCATCTGCAGTCATCTCATCATCCCTTGAGTTCTTTCATTTCTGCTTTAGATTCTGACTGCTCTATTAAAGAAAAAACTGCCCTATTAAAGAAAAAAAAACTCACAGCAAAATATTTCATCTCATCTGGTCCTTGGTAAATTTTTTCTACTGAGTATGCATCTCTTCTATTGGTAAGTTTGATTTCTAATTTTTCCTCTGTTTTTGTATGATTTTTAAATTAATGCTATCCCAATTTTTTAATGACTTTTCACTTAATGAGTTGTTTTTTCCTAGACCAGCTATTTCTTTGTTCCCACCACAGAGGCAGTCTGATTCCCGCAAACATGGTTCATCTGTGTGATTCTTTTATAGCTCCACCTTCTCTGCTTCTCTGAACCAAGCCAGATCGAGGCGGCTTCTGTCATCAACTTGAACCTGTCTCCAAAGTTCCCACATCCATTGTTCTAAAAAAGGTGCAATAACTTGTGTTTCATGGTAAAACATCACCTTTAAGAACTGTATTTTGAAACTATTTTGAAATTTTTCAAACACATACAAAAATGAAGAGAATAAATATTAAACACCTACATACTCATCACCTGTCTCAAGTAATTATCAACATTCTTCCACTCAGAAGCATATTTTTGCTGGGGCTTTCTGAGAACCACTACTGCTAGGATCTTTCTTTTTTTATTTTCTTTTATTTTTATTAAATCATAGCTGTGTACATTAATACTATCATGGGGTACAGAGTGCTGTTTCTATATACAATTTGAAATACTTTCATCCAACTGGTTAACTGCTAGGATCTTTCATCATTCTTCATGCGTCTTCCCTTCGCTTATTGCTGAATGGCCTCTACCCAACCCAATCTCAATTGTCTTTGGGCAGCCTTCACATATATTTTGAAGTCTGTGGCTTTTATGTTTCCAACTTTTCTGAAAATGAATTTTGCGGGTTTGAATGATTTCCAAAAGGGAAAAAATGCTGACTTGTGCAGCCATGTTCATACTGGAAGTCCCAATAAAATACTTTTTAAATTTCCAAGTGGTTGGACTTTGTGTTTATAGTTTTGTTATTAATTTCTCATTTTATTGCATTTTAATCTATCTTGTATGGTTTCTGCTTTGGGTGACTTATTACCACACTAATATGTGATCAAATTTTGTAAATGTTCTGTGAACATTTGGAAAAAATGTATTCTTTATTTTTTATTATTTTTATTCTGTATTTTAAAGCTTCAACATGAACTTCACATAAACCTATAACTTTAGCTTCGTGTAGCTTAAAAATATTTATATTGTTATTCAGATCTTTTATTTCCGTATTTATTGCCTGCTTAATTGGTGAAGGAGAAAAATATATTAAAATCTCACTGTAACTTTAATTTCTGTCATTTTGTGTTTTTATCTGTGTGAGCTATTAGTTCATTTATTATTATCAATTATTAAGTATTTTTAAGCTTTAGTATCCAATGCATAAATATTTGGCAATATTTACATTGAGACATATATCTTTTATTTGTATGAAATACTATTTTGTTTCTTTTGCTTTCTATTTTAATTCTGTTTTCCTTTTATTTATACTTACCTTATTTTGTTTGCCAAAATATTGTTTTCCAAAATATTTATTTTTTTAGCCATTTTAAGTTGTATTGTTTTAGATGTGTCTTTTAAAGATGGTATAATGAATTTTGATTTTTGATATCATCTAGAAGTCTTTATCCCTTAATACAGGAGTTTAATCCATTTTTACTTATTAGAAAAATATATTTTATTCTTTTTCTACTGTTTTTCCCATGTCTTCTGTTTTTAGTACTGTCTCACTGCGTCTTTTGTTTTCTACATTTTGCTGTATAGACTATGAGTAATTTTTCTCCCCAATCCTAGTGATTTCCAGAATTTGTTTTTTTCTCTATCCATAGTGTTTTCCAGTCTCTCCATAATGCTACAGGCTAATTTTCATCACCAACCCCTGCTGGTGTTGGTGATTTTCTTCTATTTACTTATCCCTAAAGGACTGGTATTTCTTCCAGGTCTAATTTTTCCCTTAGAAATAGTTTGAGTGCATTGTGCTTGGACAGCCTATTTTCATTTGGATGCTGTCAGAGACCTCCTCAGAGAGGTCAAGTGGAAGGGCTGAGTGCCAACTCAGCATCCGCATCAGAGGGAGTAGTGAGGGGGCCAGGGCCTGAGGCCACCCTGGCAGGAGTTCTCATTCTTGCTGGGTTTGTCTCATTTTTTGGCAAAGCCACAGGACCACATGCCAGGCCTAATGTGTCGGACCTTCCTCCTGGTACACAAATAGTTCTGTCTCTTTGCCCAACCTCACACACCCAACTACCAAGTCAATGAAGAACTCACTGTCTCAGGATCGTGGATCCTGCCTGTGCCTCATCTCTGAGCAGCTGGGGCTCCAAGCACAACTCACCAGGCAACCCCCACTGAGCAGGGACAGCTCCTGTCACCTCATGAAACCACTCTCCAGGGTGTCCACCAAAGGCTTTCAGCCAGCAGAGTCACCTGAAAACCCAGGCCACCCACTACCCCAGCAAGCCCCAACTTCCTCTCATCCAGTCCTCTTCAAGAAGGGGGGGCCTTTCCCACATGTAAGAGCCTGTGTCCACCTCTTGTTTTCTCTTCCTCAAGCCTGGGAGGTAACTGTGCAGTGCAGAATCTCCCCTCCTTATATTCCAGAATTAATCCTGCCAGATTTAGTAGGTAAAAATACAGATCACCCAGTTACACTTGAATTTCATATAAATAACAAATAATTTTTAGATGAGTATGTCCAACACAATATTTGAAGCACGCTAATATTAAAAAGTATTCACTGTTTATCTGAAATTCAAATATAACTAGGCATTCTGAATTTTGTCTTGCAGCCCCATCCAGAGGACTAATCACTTTGAGGACTAATTTTTTAGTCACCTCTGGTAATCATTTTAAAAAGTAGTCCACTTTTTAAAAGCTTAATTATATTTGTAGAATTCCCTCAAAATACCATGATTTGGCTGACTCATCCCTGTTTTTTCCCAAGAAATAGGGCTTACATTTTCATATTTGGAGGTACTTTCTGTCCCAGTTGGGGAGGAGATTGTCCAGAAGTACATTCTCCAGCTGACTTTCCTCATACTTTTAATACAAAATTTCTATTATAGAAAAAGTTCAAATAACACTGAAAGAAATAGAATAGCACAATATATCCCTAAGTACCCACTGCCAAACAAACTTTAACAATTTTCAATGTCTTGCAACTTTAATAACTTTTAATATTTTGAAAACCTGTCTAACAGCCACCACTTTACACTATCTATCTTGCTCCTGACTTTTTTCAAGTGGGGGAGGGGGGGTTAAAGCAAATCATTTTTCCTACAAATACTTCAGTATTTTTCAACATTCTCCTGGAAATACTTTCTTGGTTACTCGAGCCCACACTGACTTACTGCTCTAAATCAGTGATGACCTTTCTCCCCCCAGTTAGTTCATCAGGATTCATCACCCTCGGGCACCAAATGAGCAGATAAATGGAAGTATATATACATAGATACATTCTCTTTCTGTCATATTACCCACTACCCATCACGTGTGCCCAGTGACTATTGGACTCAAGGGTACTGTTCTGGAGAAAGGAACTCACCTTTAGAGTGTCAAAATCCTTCTCCAAATAGGAGCCACACTTTTCCCTCTCCCCTATCGAGGCAAAGAATTTGCTCCACCAATCAATGAACTCCTCTTCCTGTGTGACCAGAAAGAGAACATTTAAGAAGCAAAATTGCGAACCAAGGTCCTTCTAAATTGGATACCTCCCACAGCTGCTGGGCTGGCCTGGACTTCAAGGCTTCCCTGTGAGTGAGTTCAGGGAAGCAGAGAGCTGAAACTTCCACCTCTCCAGGGGTTAAGACTGTGAAGACTGGAAGAAAAGGTTCCAGCACTTGTTTGGTGTTGAAAGGCAAGGATTCTAGCCCTGGCTCTGCCCCACAGTCATGGGTACTTCTGTCAAGCTCCTGGGCATAATCATCTCAGTACTCCCTGTATGCTAGGGACAAATTGAGGCTAAAATCAGAGTGTACCTACAATAACTCTTTGGAGAAAATGTCAATAATGTATTAATTATGAATAAAATGTAGTAGACCCAGGAAAACCCAGACCCAAAAGAATTATCCTGGCCACCTATCACCCCACCCCAGCAATAAACAAAACATTGGAAATCAGCCCTTAGCCTCCCCAAAGTCAAATCTAGACAGAGTCCCTCAAAATCATCAAATATATACTAAGTGCCCTTTATTCAAAAGACACTGCTAAATGTGGGGAATTAGGTGAGAAAAAAGGAAGCTTGTGACAACACACTTCCTTCCTCTAGCCATTCACGCTTACAGGAAAAGACAGGCCTGCTGTGGAAAATCTCTGCCTCCTACACAAGGTGTAGCTGCAGGCCCTCTTAGCTCTTGTGTGTCTAGAACATTCCTCCTGCAGTGTCCCATCTAGGTATTGTTTCCTGTCATCTAGAGGGGTCAGCAAGCTCCTTGAAGATGGGATGGTCACTCCTCCCCAGGCCTCCCTCAAACCCACCAAGGCTGGGCACTCAGCCTATGCCCAGCCATACCATTAAAATCCATCTAGTTTAGAGGGAAGAGCCAAGGACAAGGTGTCAGGAGAGCCCATTCTGGGGCTCACTTTCCTCCTCTGTGTGAGAGTAGGCTGAAAGGCCTCCCAGAAGCCTATTCTAATTCTATAGAATGAACTGAACACCTATGATTGAGTTTCTGAAAATGCTCATGGCTCCCTTTAAACCAATGCTAAGTCCTCTGAGCTCTGCCTTATAAAGGGTGAACAAAAGTTGAAGCCAGGCCAAGGGTACCTAAACAGGCACACTGGAGAAAAGGTAAGATAATATGAGCCCATCTTGAATCTTCAACCCACCCTGAAGTGTGGTCCTGACACCCTTTTTGTGACCAGACGTGGTCCCCAAACACACTGCGCAGGGAATTCATACCAAGCAAGGCCGAGTCTATATTCAGACCCTACCAACCAACTTACCCGGAGTGTCTTCTGCAGCCAGGAAAAAAGGAAAAAGATCAGAAGAGTTAAGACTCAGGAAGGCAGAGATTTCTGACTTGTAACCTTTCCAGAAAAAGCTGTCTTAGAACCAGGCTGACCCAAGCCCTAACATTTAAACTTCAATTTAAAGAAAAAGATGCCATGATGAAAGTATGTATGCATACATACATATCAGACTCACACAATGACCAGCACGCAGAAGAACATATTTACACAGTCCATGCCCAAGGGAGTTGTATATGCCCTACAAAGATATGCAAAGACACACACTAACACACAGGCAAGCATGTACACTTAGGTAGAAATGGTTAAAATAGAATTAAAGTTAGCTGTTTAATTCCTCCTAAATCTTTATTTTATTCCTAGCCCAGATACTTAAAAATCTGAGTTTATAATTCAGGCTTAGAATCAGGCACAGACAGACAACCAACTAGTGAGTTTTGTATAAAGAAAAGACAGGAACACAAGTGTAGAAAAGGTATTACACTTCCTTCAATCTTGAAAAACCAAATAAACTTTTAAAAGAATAGGAGACAGATGGTCTGAATAACAACATTAACAGATACAACTAAATAGACAAACATTATATACACTAAAAACAGAAAATATACCTTCTTTTCCAGCACCCTTAGAGCACTTAGAAAAAACAAAAAGCCATAAAGCAAATCTCAATAAAGCCCCAGAAATCCAGAAATAAAACTCATATTAGTCACATTCTCTGACTATATTGCAATCAAACAAGAAATTAATGAAAAAATAAAAAATTAAAATCTCAACCTTTTGGAAATTTAAAGGCACATACTTAAAACCCTCCTGGGTCAAAAAGAAAACCAAAATCAAAATAAGAGATAGTTTAAAAATACCAAGGAGAGGCATACACATCCCTAAATTTTCAGTAGCCAAGCCTATAGACTCAAAGGAAAATTCAGTCTTAAATGTTTTCACTTTTACACTAGAAGAATGAAGATAAATAAGATGATAATTTAAGAAATCGAAAAACATAGGAAGACCAAGAAAATTTTAAGTAAAAATGAACATATTTAGGGTGGGCACCTGTAACTAAACGGTTAGAGCACTGGCCCTGTGTACCAGGGCTGGCAGGTTTGACCCTGGCCGGGGCCTGCTAAACAAAAAACAAAAAACATGAACATATTTAAAAGGAAAATATTATAATTGATAATTAAAGCCCAGGTAAGTCCTTCAAAAGGCCATTAAAATAAACATTTTTCAAATCTAATTTTCTTTTTCTTTTGAGACAGAGTCTCATTATGTCACCCTCAGTAGAATGCTATACTGTCATAGCTCAAAGCAACCTCAAAGTCTTGGGCTTAAGTGATTCCCTTGCCTCAGCCTCTCATTGTAGCTATTTTTTGGTTGTAGTTGTCATGGTTGTTTGGCAGGCCCAGGCTGGATATGACCCTGCTGGGTGCATGTGGCTGGCACCTTACCCACTGAGCTACAGGAGCCACCTATCAAATCTAATTTTTAAAAGCAAGCACACTTTTGGAATGAGAAATATCAAATAAAAAGATATTATGGAAGAAAATAAAAATATTCAGAGGTTTACTAGGCCAAATCAATGACAAAATCTTGGAAAACCTAGATTAAGTAGATGACTTTATACAAAAACATAAATTGACAAAATTAAATCAAAAGATATAAAAAAAAAACATGAATGGGCAATAACCCTGAAAGAAAGTGAAAAAAGTCTCAAAGAACTACCTCCAAAAAAAGACATCAGGCTAAGATATTATTTTAGGGGGAAAGTTCTATCAGTCTTTCAAAGAATGAATCATTCTTTGTTCCACAGCACAGAAAAAGATTAAAATTTTCCCCATTCTTTTATGAAGCAAAGCCACACACACATATTACTCTTATTCCTGAATAGAGATATAAAGATCCTAAATAAAATATTAACAAACAGATGGCAGCAGCAGATCTGGCATGGTCAAGTTGGGTTATTACAAGTGGTTTAGTTACTCAATGAGCAAGGAGGGGAAACCCACAGAATCATCTACAGCAGAGCTTTGAAAAGGGTGGCTGGCACCAGCTTAGTTTTGTGATTTAAACATCAATATATTCTGTGAATGCTTTTCAACAACTGCAGAGTTGAATAATTGCAATAGAGACCTTACATCTCCCAAGCCTAAATTATATACTATCTGGCTCTTTAAGAAAGAGTTTGCCAACAAGCATTGGAGAAACAAAAACAAAAAACAGAAATAATGTGGGTTCAAATTTCTCCTTTATTCCTAAGTGAAACTCTCAGTGCATTAGAAATAAAAGGAAGATTTTTTAGCATTATATGGACTTTTTTTTTTGAGTCAGTCTCACTATGTTGCCCACAGTAGAGTGCTGTGGCTTCACAGCTCACAGCAACCTCAGGCTTAAGCGATTCTCTTGCCTCAGCCTCTCAAATAGCTGGGACTACAAGCACCCACCACAATGCCCAGCTATTTTTTTTGTTGTAGTTGTTATTACTGTTTGGCAGACCCAGGTTGGGTTTGAACCCGCTTGCCCCTGTGTATATGGCTGGTGCCCTACCCGCTGAGCTGCAGGCACCAAGCCTATATAGACTATTTTAAAGCAATAGTCAGCATTTTGCTTAATAGTGTTGAAGCACCTGGTGATGGAAACATTACAAAGCTCTCAAGTGGGGCAGAGGGAGCCAGGACTCAAAAGCCAGGCTGCTAGGGTCCAAATCCTGCCACTCCCAGCAGTGTCACCTTCAATAACTATTAACACTTAACCTCTCTAGGCCTCAGTTATCTTAAGTGTAATGAAAAAATAATGGCACCAATTTGATGAAGTTATTGTGAGGAATAAATGAGTCTTTATGTATAAAGTGCTTAGAACCATGTCTAGCTCATAAATGCAACCTAAGTGTTTATTGCTATTACTCATAATAGTATTGTTATTGTTGTCATTGCATGGGCCAGGTTAGTTTCTTGGCCAAGGGCTGACTCCCACAAAGTACTGAGAAGAACATGGATGACACAGTCTTTCCAGAAGACAAAATGGCTGCTATGTTTCTATGACCTGAAAAATGTACACATTTTGACCCAGCAATCCCATTCTAGAAATTTTCCCAAAAAAGTAATGATTAATGTGCATAAAGATTTAACATCATTTAAAATAGTAAAAGATCAGAAACAACTCAAGTGTCTAGTAATAAGGAACTGTGTGGGTAAACTGTACATCCATATGATTGTTATGAAATGTATGTTAAATATTGACATGAAATGTTATTCACACCTGACAAGATTTATAAAGGGTTAAAAAATGAATAATGTGATCTTCTTTGAATAAGCGGACTAATCCCCAGGTGTTCACAGTGACTAATGGTAGGATTATACATGTTCTCTTTATTCCTTTTAGTTTTGTGTATCACTTAGAAATTTCTTTTTTTTTTTT